GGGGGGGGGGGGGGGGGGGGGGGGGGGGGGGGGGGGGGGGGGGGGGGGGGGGGGGAGCAGCGAAAAGTTGGGTCAAGCGAGACTGGAAGAAAACGAGCAAGGAACGCACGCAAAAAAAAAAGAGGGTATGAGACCGCTGTCTCCAAGTTCGCGTGTGAGCAAGTTCCCTTAGGGATGGGCGGTGTGGATACACACCGGATCAACCTCTGGTGGAGAGGCTGATGTACGGAACGTTGAGTTGGGTGTGTATGTGGCAGGTGGGGATCAACCTTGTGTTGAAGCAAGGTTCAGCATCCAACCTGCACTGACTCTTTTATCTGTGGTAACACCCCGAAGGTAGATCTCCGACAGGTCATCTGATGTCACAATCTATGATAGTCTGAGGTGGCATTCACAAGGGAAAACGTATCATTGATACATTCATTTGAGTAGTGTTCGAGAGAACCCTTTTTCGTATACACAAAAAAAAGAACCGGACGGATGCACCGGCACTCGAAACAAGAGAGCTTGGCACGATGGACACGGATCTAGGTCCGATACCCGGGGCGTGGACCCCGCGCACGTGCGCGGTGTGCTCACGAAGTTCGGAAAACAGGTTTCACTCATATCGTTGAGAGAGCGCAACACGCCCTCGGCGGTAGAGCGTGGAGGAACCCCTATCCCCTCGTCAGCTCCTCAATTGCCTGCCAACCGACGCCACCTCTTATTTATCATACACTCTGCCGCTCTTTCCGCTAAGGTGATCTACAAGGGAAAAACTCACCCTTCTGCTTGAGGTCCTTGAGGAACGCTTCCCAGTTCAGCTTCTTCTTGGTCGCGACCTTCTCGAGCATGTTAAGGATACCGGGCATCATGCCCTTGAGCCCGCAGAAGTAGATGTGTGCTCCCTCGCTCAACTTCTGGAAAACTTCGTCACCGTATTCCTCCACCTTTATGTTTCCAACGGCGCGGTTCCAAAGTGGGACACAGGTTTGAGTAAGCGGCGAGACGTATTGTTGTTGAACATGAGGCCCGCGCTTGGCATGGGAATGGAAAAGACGCATGAGACACGACCATGGCAAAAATTGAACCACCACAACACATCGCTTGGCCGATGTAGCACGGTAGTTCTCGACAATCATACATGGCCGATTGGTGCGGTCGACATGGAAACGAAAAACAAAACACACAAAAATATTCCCAGTGGTCAGCCGGGTAGCATAGCGCGGTCGATGCTATTGATAGCAACGGAGACATGCCACACACACAAACCTTGTCCTGGATGTACATCTTTCCGCCGGACTTGTTTTTCTGCTCGCGGGACAGAGCGTAGTCGAGGCGGAAGTTGTCGGGGAACTCCTTGAGCACTTGCTGCCACTCCGCATCGTAGAGGAGGGCGTCCGAGTTGGCAACACCCAGGAAAAGCCACGCCTGGCCCTTGAAGGCCTCCTTCGCGGGGGTGGCCTCTGCGAACAGACGGCGGACGAACGACCGGTACGGGGCGATACCGGTACCGGTGGCGATCATGATGAGGTCGGTCTCGGGCTTGTCCTCGGGCATGAGCATCACCTGAAGCGGGGGGGGGGGGGGGGGGGGGGNGGGGGGGGGGGGGGGGGGGGGGGGGGGGGGGGGGGGGGGGGGGGGGGGGGGGAGCCGGGGGTGAAAGGCGTGAGTGAGATTCGGGACGCCTAAGCTTGTGGTTGAGAGTTATAGGTCCTTCCCACGAAACAAAATAAAAGAAAAGCAACACCGCTCTTTTCCACCGATGAAGTTGTCAACACTAAATATCTTCCGCCACATTCCATGCACACTTCAAGAATCCTCCATTCTCTCGATTCGTGTGTGGGACAAAAGATCAAAGAGCCTCTCTCGTTTGTTTTCCTCGATCGTGACGGCTCCGAAAAACTAACGCCAAACGGCATCCCCCGACAAAAAAATGGACCACTTGCTCCGTACGGTGGAACCGACATAAATGCAATCGTCCTAGTTCTTAGGACAGGACAACGCAGTGCAACACTCAGAAAGGAAAGGCTCGTTTGTGCATCGGAGACAACGCCAAAGAAAACACCACAGCTTGTGTTCTCTCCACGCCTTCTCCGTCCCCTCCCTCCCCCCTTTCGCATCTGGCTTGACCCCAGGTATTTATTTTCTAACTCATGAGGAGCGAGGCGTCGAGCGGCCATACGGTCCACTAGCGTCCTCTCTTAAGAAATAATCAAGTTGTGACTATCCATGACCGATAACGCAAACGTTGTGGGCCATCTGTACGGTTGAACCGCATCTGTGTCGGCCTCTACCGAAGAAACACTGGCGTCAATGCTGTTTTGTCTCCGTGTTGAGAATCATCTCTCCCCGAGGGGTCAAATCAAGCCTAGGGGAGGGGCGGCTTTCCAGTCGAGATAACACCAACAGCGATGATAGACCCACGCCGCGACAACAACCAACCACCAACGACCGCCATCAGCAGCAACGACCAACATGACCACAACAAACCACCACGGTCATCGGCAGCGACCTGCTCCATGACACACAACCAAACGCCAACCAAGACGAAGCACATGTGCATGTCTACATACCTTTCCGGAGGGGCCGGTGAGCTTCAGCTTGGCGCCCGGTTCGGCGTCGCAGAGGTAGTTGGAGCAGACACCCTTCTTAGCGGGGTCCTCCTTGCCCATTTCCTCGTCCCAGTAGGTCGCGCGGCGCACGCAGAGGGTGGTGGTGGTACCGGTCATGTCGTCACCGTAACTGCAGGGGGACAAAACAAGGTATCGTGCACGTTGCGTCATTTGGAAGGACAAAAAGAGGTACACCACGATTTTGAGTCATGTACGAACGAGATTGTACCGAGAGTGTGTACATGCAACCAAGGGATATCGAGGGTGGACATAGGAAAAAAGGAGGGGTAGTGAGAAGGTTGTGCAGGGCGCATAAACCACGGCCGCAGAGGAAAAGGGATTCTTACAAACTGAAGCAAGCGTCACTCGGTTCGATGGAAAGTAGAGCAGTGGCGTGGGGCACCAGGGCAACAAGAAGAGACGACATTTTCCGACTGATTGTCCGCCTCATGTTGACACTCCATTCCGCCCGGTCTCACGTATGTCAGGTCATCTGCAGTCAAACTCTAGTTCAAATTTTTTATGAACAGAGTGCCAAACGGCAGTGTGGACGGATGTTCCTGCCCTTACCCTTTGTCCAGGGGTGGGGGGGCGGGTGTACATAAAAATGGTAGAGAGGACTAACACAAAAATGCCCCACAGCAACAGTCCCACTGCTGCTCCTCAAGCTACCGCTACATCGTGAGCAGCCTGTTTGGTACCAGCTAACCCTGATTTGTTGCCGCACCAACATTGCACCAACCTTGCCACGCAGGTCACACGCGTAGATCCCACAAACGACGCAAAAACAAAAAACCTGACAGCGTTCCATGTATTACGCACAGGCGGATTTTGGATATATTCCATTTAGGACCAGTCGCTTGCGTGTGCCGACGTGTGCGTGCGTACTTCACCACCAGTTACACGGCTTCCGCGTTCTCGTCGATTTTTCCAAATTTCTTTCCGCAAGCACACAATGGGAAGTGCAAGACGCATGTGCTACATGTGCATGCGAAGAAGGAGCGACGGTGTACTTGCGGTCTACAGAGCAGTGATTGCGGCGGAAGATAGCCGCACAACTAGTAGAATGCTGCTTCGGAAGCATTTAGCATGAACGCAATGACGCGTGCGCGACACGTGCGCTCGCACACATATCATGGTATGTACCGCTCTGCAACGTGAAATCTTGCGACAACGGTTGCATGCATGTGACGGAAATTGGCACGTGCCTGTTCGAACGCATGTGTAGATAGGATGCATGTCGTTCCTGCAAAAAAAATAGGCTACAATACCATAGGTACACGCTACTTCGCGCGTTGTATACGATTGTTGCAAGTCGCAGCGGTGTTGTGTTATTCCAAGGGTTGAAAGTAAAAGACGGTTACAAGTGGTGAACAACAGTGCAATAGAGCTCCAATGTTGCCAAAGAGCTCAACAGCGAGAGAGGGACGAACCCTCTTGAGTAGTCCGGGAGGAACAATCTCGAACGTATTCGAGAAAGCGGCGCCTGTCTTGTCGCCTGCTGACTCACTAAATAATAGTTTGGCAAAGGACGCGCCACCACAGCCCGTCAGGAGCAACATCGCTCTCCACTAAACAGAGGCGGACAGCGCGCCAAACGAGCGCATAGCTCGGCGGTCTACTGCCGCTGTGCTGCGCTGCAGGTACGCCCGAAAACGAACACGTACCCCCCCCACCCCCCGCAACATGAAAAACGATACAAAATGCATGCATGCTGCTTTTTCGGTGCAAGCAGGTTGATTCCGCCGTGTGGCTGCTACTCCTCACCGGGAGGAGGCGATCGAATACAGCCGGACGCCGTTGGGCTTGCCCGTCTTCCAGTTGTTGCCCGGGGGGATGACGCCGTAGGACTGTCCCTCCCAGTAGGGCATCTTCCCGCCGTGGTTGATCACCACGTCGCACGTCTCGCCGGTGGCCTCCGGTCCCACGATGCGCTTCACGGACACGACCTTACCGATCATCGGGTCCTTGGCCTTGTAGGTGTTGACGGGGATGTTGGACTGGTCATAGTAGGGGTCCGCCTCGAGGAAGTCCAGCTTTCCGCTGAGGCCGCGGTCGGACACGGAGCTGCGGCGGCGAAGCAGCAGCAGCAGCAGCAGCGAGCGGGGGCAAACAAGTGTTGTTGAGGTTTTTGAAGAGCTGGGAAAGAGGGCGCCATTCCGAGATATGGCGAAAAAGCAAACGTGTGTGCCGTCCCAAAGGAAGATTTCAGTTCCAAGTTCAATAAAAAACATACAAACAACGCGCCGGATGATTTCGGCGAGGGGATCGACTTCGCGCCTCTCTCCGGCTAGCCATGGCATGGAGAACGAAGCTGGCACCACCAATCATACTCGTGATCCACGGGCGAGAGGGCGTGTTTGAGTGACGATCGCACTCACGGACAAGACCTCTCCTTCTCTACCTGTTTTGGTGGAGGAGCCACGTACGACATCCGAGAGCGCAAAACATGCAAATGAGCACGATGGCAAACCGAGCGCATCCAAACATTCCAACCAACCACCTCGGAGGAAGCGAAGCAGAGCACAGGCATCATGGAACGGACAACACTCACGAGAGCTGTGCCACATCTGCCAAGTTGTCCGCCACTGCCTCGGCGAACCATGGCTCCTCGTCTCCAGCAATCATGCGCATGGGAGTCGACGCCGACCGGGCGGATGCGACCGAGCTCCTCAGCACCGGCGCGGGCGCCACGAAGGCCGACGCCCCCACCATGAGGAGCGCCGACGTGCATGCGACATACTTGGGTGCCATGATTGCTTTTGTCGCGTACAGTCACAACTTAACTGATTATCGAAGCGAAGGCAGCCGCTCCTCGCATGCTTCGGCTTAGCTCGAGATGGTACTGAGGCGTTATCTTCGGGGATGTTTCACCCCTACATCCCTCGTCTCAAAAAACGCCTTCCATGGTAAATGTACTTCGATTTGCCACGGCGGTTCACCGTCGGAGAGTTTGCGGGGCCGCTGCGGCTGTTCCCAAAGAGCAACCCAACCAACAACAAGCGCTTCGTTCGGCATGACCTACGAGGCGCTGATCGTCGTCGTCTTCGGCGTCGCCCTCGCCGTCGCGTCGGTGGCCTTATTCATCGCTCACGTCAAGCGCATCAACGCCCCAAACCGAGCTGATCCCGCCGGCACCCTCGTACATGTCGACCTAGGCGCCGCGCTCGCCAAGGACGAGGCCGCCGCTGCCCTTCGCGAGGCTGGTGGGCGCAACAACGGCGGGAGACGAAGCACTAACGAGGACAGCAGTGCTGGGTGCTCGGGAGATGCGTTCGCGTTGCAGCCGAATGGAGCGGCTCGCCGCCGGAGACGACCGTCGGTAGAGACGGCAAACCGGTGTGCTCATGGTAGTCAGCAGGAGACTGCTGCTGCTGTGGGCACGCAACAACCCACGGACACCCAGCAGGTGTGGACGTGGAGTGGATTCATGTGTTAGGGCGTTTGGGTTTACGTGGGGTTTTCTGGCAGTGCTAACGCTGTGTGCGTTGCCGTGACTGCGTAGTCCGAGTAATGAGCGACAGGGCAACAACTGCAACGCGAACATTCTCACTGCCAACATGTACAGGCAAGCCGCCGCCGGCGTATCGAGACAGACTATCGTACAGCATTCCACTACTACTGTACTGCTGTGTTACCACTGGCGCCGACACGCCGCGCGGTTGGGTTTAGGGAGGTGCGCTTCGCAGCAGGAGCTGACAAGGCAGCAACGCCCGCCCGCATCGACGGCAGTTTTTCGGGATGTCTTTTCTATGCGTGACACCACGGGCGATGGTCCACCATCTTGAGTATTCTGTATGCCCGCTAACCGCTAACCCGGTCGGCAACCCGCAGAATCGTATTGTAGGTCATGTTTTTTTAATTAGATAGGCGCCTCTCATACAAATGCACTCCCGAAACCTGAAAAGTAATTAATTTAAATCACACCCCATATATATAGACTATTTGTGTATCTTACAAAACATTAATACAAGATGTTGGTCGGCCGGTCGACCTGGCAACATCCACAGGGTGGTTGCTACATGACTGTCGAATCCACGGGGCCCCCTATAGTAATCTCGCCGCCTCCGTGTAGCGTTCAATGCATTTGAAAGTCCCATGTATGCTGCGCCTTGAACGCTGTGCGCAGCAACGGCCTCTTGACTCAGTTCCTCTTTTGCACGAAACAACGCAGCCACGGGAAGCAGGGGCATCATCGTACACGGCGACCATGGTGCTGCCCTCGCCGCTGTGGGCCGAGGCTATCCTCAAGCACGCCGAGGTCAAGCGCAAGAAGCTCCGGAGCATGGTCAAGAGCGGGGAGATCGCTGCCGGTTGGGAGGCCAAGTGGGAGCGGTTACCGCGGCCGAGAAGGCGCAAGCTGCTGGAGGCGGTGAGGGAGGAGCTGGTGCACGCGGTGTCCTCGTACATAGGACGCGATGAGGCGCTGTTCGACGTTATCTGGTGAGCGAGCGAGATGGAGAGAGAGAAATACGGTGGGACTGGGAGAGACATCCACAAGACACCGAAGCCTCCTAATACAGGAAGACGAGGGGGTAGAGAGAAAGCAGGGGAAAGGGCAGTGGCGGGTAATATCTAGAGAGAGCACGACTGAGAGTCGTGGCCAAGGGCGGTCCACATAGCCTACAGAGCAGCACTCAAGAAGGCATCGTTGCTGTTTCGCGAATTGGCACTTTTAAATTCAGTCTATGCGTACTTCATACCTTGAGGGTTTCCAAAACCGAAGTCTAGAAGTAAACTGAATACTCTTGGAATACTCCCACCCAACCCCCGCTATAGGAGAATATCCCCTGCTGACAACAAGCACACCTGAGAGATCCATAGCTGACGGCATCCACATTTGGCGCCCGCAACTACTCTTCCACCCCCTTGCACAGCCCACACCTCAGCTTGAGTGCTCTAGAGGAGGAGCACCGCGGAATTTCCGGGTTGTCCCGTCTCGTTCGTGGTTGTATGGACGGAAAGTTGCCGGAACCCCGGTCGAAAGCGTTCGTGGCGGTGCGAGACGCTCTCGCTATGGCGGCGACAGGCGCGGCGGCGGCGGCGGCGGCGGAGAACGTTTCCAAGGACAAGCGGGGACCGGTCCGGGCATTCCTGCCGACGTTCCGGAAGCTCTGCTCTTCCTCTTTCTGTATTGGGTGAGAGAGAGAGAGAGCGAGAACGAGCGCAGCGACGAGTTGTTTGATAAATTTTCTATTCTCCCTTGCTATAAGTCACCCAGTAGGAAGGTATCACAGACTAATTTTGTGTGCATGTTATCCCACCTTTCCCCCTGCTGTGCTTGCCTTTTCTTCCTGTAGGCGTCTACCGTTCCGAATAGGATAATATACACCATCACGACACATTTGCAGCCCCCTCGCATGCACGTTTGCTGTCAACACGCGCAACAAACGCTAAATCGAACAAACACAGGCTTCGTGCGTCGATGTCGTTCCCCGTCTTGAGCTTGTGGTGCTGAATATGCCTACATAGAGGGGGAGCACCAGTCAATACATGCTCCCCATCCTGACGTGACTCTCAATGTGCTTTCCGCTGTCAGGGCGCTGGAAGCCATCGTGAGCGGGAGGGCAGACGGTTCAGCTGGCCCCACGGTGGGCTCCGTTTGCTCCGCCCTTGTCAAGACGGGAGGATCGGGCGTCCTCCTGTTCGCCTTCTTCCACGGATTGAAGCAGATGTCAGCCTCGGAGGTTACAGACTCGGCCGGGCTTCCAGCGGGCGTGGGTGGGGGAGGGGGGAGTCGGATTCCTGGTCAAGGAACACTTGTTTGACGTGGTGGAAGTAGTGGTGAAAACGGAATTNTCGATGGGGGGGATGCTTTCGTGCTTTCTGCGCGGTGGGGGGGTTAGATTATGCTGTGTTGTTGAATCCCTGAAACATGATATGTTTTTGTGTGATGTGTTGGTGGGGTTGTGATGTACCAGTGCAATTCTCCGAATTTGCAACAGCTTCGCAGTGTAAGGTACGTCACGTTTGTGTATCATGTTCGTGGTTTGTTAGTGTTATAGGTGAGTCGCGACGGTTTTGATCCAATTTCAACGACTCGAGTAACTACCCAAGGTTTAAGGACCGCTTGTTGTTGTTAATCTATGTATACATAAGGCGCGGCCTCAACCCGAAACACCATTGTACTGCACATGCACCTGCATGCAACGCGCCGCCTTTCCGCACCAAACGTGCGAAAGCTAGAAACTCCGCATCACCCGCACATGCATCACGTTGCGAAGCACCTCATCACAACCGAACCGATCGATGCCGGTCGTGCTTGCAAACATACACAGACCATTTGTGCCGTGCTCGTCTCGTGGGCGGTTTAGCCTGCGAGAATTGCAACGCACGGGGAGTTACACTTCTCGGTCATTGCAGAATTTAAGGCGCCGGACTATGCGCCGCTGCCGTGTGCATGGTTTTCGGGCTGTCGCTGCCCTTCTCAGCGGAGAGCACAGATAGATGGATTCATTCGTGAGGTCGTGCTACCGCTACGCCCCGCGTCCTTCAGTTGATTGCCTATCCCATGGTCCTTTGAGGTCTTCCCAATCCTTTCGGCTACAGCACAAATTACCAGCCCTCTTTGGCATACCTCGGCGGAACCTAAAAATCTAAGTTCAAAACAACGCACGCTCACAAGTGGCGGCGCGGTACGTTTCCGGGGTGACCAGTGTTCAGCTCGCAGCTGCAGGTCGTTATTTCTGACATACATGGGTGATCTTGCACCGCTCGGTTCAACAAATCCGTGGTGAACACCAGTGAACAAACAGAAGCTTTTTTGTCGGAACTCTGTCATGAATATTTTTTCTTTATTTGGAGGCAACACGCTCGGTGTTCCTGTACTGGTCATCCCCCCCGCCGAAGACACCCATATTGTCCTCCGCGAAGTCCCCTTCTCTACGGAGAACGCAAGCCCAGGCCAGGGTCAACACAGCCAAGACAGAGGGGCGTACACATGGTCCATCCTGTCTACTGTCGCCCTTCTGCTGGCGTGCAGTTGTTTCTGTTGTAGAGAAAGGGAAATGAAACTTGATTGCGGTTAATGGGTGGGTGCATAAACGCAAACACGGTAGGCATGCGCTGCGATTCGTCGTGGTGGACCACCGACTTTGTGCTGAGGTTTGTGCCATCCTCGAAGTCTCCCGCGTGTGTAAATCATCAGAGCATGTACGTTGAAGCGCCTTTTTTTGTCGACTTTTTCGTAACGACTCTTGTAATAGTGACGCCCCCGCCCTCTCCGTCCCTCCCCGTGTGTTAATCCGGCGTTGCTCACCGCCGCCTAAATCATAATCCCGGCACGAAATCCAGCAGGCCCTTGCCTTTGCCGGATCTCGGCCTGCAAACTAGATGTTGTCGTTAAAATGGCAGGCACGAGATCGACGTGACCCCGGCTGGTTTCCTTCCCCCACCCCCCAAGGCGTGCGGTGACTGGAACCCCCCTCCCTCCCCCCCCTTGCTCCCCCGTCAAAATACGATATCTCCGCCCGTGTGCCTCCCGTTATCTCTCCTGTTGAGAGCACAACCCCCCCCCTTTCCGTCCCCGGTGAGGATGCGCCTCAGATGCCCTGCATCTGATTCGGACCAGCATTCCGTCTACGAGTGGATATGATACAGGTCTTTCGCTGCCTTCAGAAAGCGCGATAAAGATGTTCTAGCCACGTAGAGGCCTAGTCTACTACGTAAGAGTTACCCGTGTCCAGTACTAAAACGAAACAACAACAGACACAGCTGTTGAGCTCCAATGCACATGAAAATTCAGACAGATCCCTTAGGCGGTGACTGGAGGGCCTTCGAGAGACCTCTGCAGCTGCAGCTCTCCGCACGCTAAATCGAGTGACCAACCCTTCGAGTGGTCCGAGGCCCATGGGAAGGAGTTGGAAAGAATATGTCGCCGTATATGTTCCCTTGTACCCACACGCCTTACGTAGGCCCCCCGCATCAGCCACCCGGGCTCCTGTTGACACCGCTTCTGGCGCGCCTCGCCAACGCCCCCCGTGTGTGACGGCTGCAGCCAAGTATTGATAGCGTTGATGTTGGTTGGCGATGGTCGGTCTGAAGATGAGGCCATGTTCCAAAAATTGGCGACAGCTTAGACAACTCCATCTCTCCCATGGCCCTACTCCTCGCCCCCCCCCCTCCAAACTACTGCCACCCTGCCAGGCACACACAGAGATTTGATTTTATTGGACCGTGCGTGTTGCGAAAAATCCACAAAAACTAGACACCTGGTTCCACATCATCTACTATCACAGCCGAACTGAGATCATTGTTGCCTTTGGCGCATAGCCTCCCTCTCGGGTGTAAATAATCCACGGACTCCCGCACTCCAGGTGCGCCTTCCCCCTGGTTCCTCTCGTGCTAGAACATACACCCCGCGAAGGAGTTTTGTGTATGGAGGCGTGCTCCTCCAACATGCCCCCAACGGGCGCCGCAGACGTTATATTTGCAGCTTTTACGAGCCCTCGTGACGGGGCCGATCGCGCTGTTGGCGGACAAGGGAGAGGTGCCCTCTCAAACCGCTCTCTCTTTCTCTCTCTCTCTCAACCCGACCCCATGCAACTAGCACATCAGATCACCACCGGTTGGTCCAGTCAGTACGCCGTTGCGAAAAGGTTCTGTTTCACCGTGGGTACGTAGAAGGGGGCGGGCGTTTGTGCAGAGAGGGGTATGGTCTCGTTCAGGGTTGGGTACACGGCGGTGATGCACGTCTGTTGTTGTTGTTGTTGATATTTTGCTGTCATCTTCACAGACCCTCACGTTTATTCTCCTTTCACTCCAACCGCACCTAAAACAACATGGAAGCGTCCTCTGGTCAGCATTCCCATTCAAACCCTCTCTGTACCGTTGTTTACTGACGTGTAGCAGCCAGAACTATCTCACCAACAACAACAACCCCTAACACCCGGGCTACATAACTAACTACCGCCTGACCCGCCCGTGATGGGCGGATGACGCTACATAGGAAAGTTCCGAGGACCCTCGACACACCGCTCCAACGAACCGTTTCTCATACTTATGCGCGGAAGCCCATCCTTCACCCACCAGCGTGCCCCCGAAGTCCCTCTTTCTGGCGGTGTTGTCGACGCCGGTGAAGAGCTCATCGAAGTCGGCGCCCTCCTCGGCGGTCTGCTGCCTGAAGGCATGCGCGCGGCGGACGTCCCTGGCCGTGATGATCTCCAGGAGGGTCTCGTACTCCACCCTGCCGTGCTCCTGGGAGCAAGAAGGCGCACGGTAGGAGTTCCACGAGGCAGCGTGAGGAGGGCTCGCGATTTTGATTTTTCGTTTCTCTTGTTGTGTCACTCCATTTCGCACCTTTGTACCATCGGTGTCTGCCGCAAGTAAATTCGCTGGTCATCCCTATAATACGACTTTCAAGGCTTGATTGGTCTCCGACCAAGTACTAAAGGGTGTCGATTCCGAAAAATAGCGGTTTTTGAAAGATTGGTTCATCAGGGGGGTACATTAGATGCTCCGTCGGCTGTCACCACCTGTTGCTTATGGGGCAATCGAGCCTGGAAGATCGGTCTATGCGGGGCCCAAATACCCATTCCATATGGTGCCTTGGCTGTCATGCTCAACACCTACCTGTTCTTCTTCCGAGGCATGAATCGCGTTACGTTTTATGTTTTGTTCTTGTTTCAAGCACTGTTTTGAAAGTTGAAGTTAAACTTGTATAGGTACTCATGATGTACTTCTGTGTCCAGGGAACTGACTGCTCAGCAAGAAACGTCGTGGGTGCGTGTAATCTTTAGCTAGCACCGACCGTGCTAGCGGGTTGACCAATGAGAAGCTGCCAGTGTCATCGGGCAACAATCAAGGTCTCGTAGAGGGGACTAAATGTCGTTGCTGCCCAGAACGCCATACATGGTAAAACTCTTTTTACAATGTTTATCGACAGAGAGACTCCAGACCTTCATCGAAGCCCTGGTCCTACCGCAAAACGCCACAGGTGCAATGAGGGCAGCAGCAGAATCGATTCAAGCCCAGAAGGAGTCACGGACACCGTGAAATACACTCCAAGACGCAGCTGATGTGTTTTCGGTATGATTTCTGGTCGTATCAGCCGGGTCATACAGGAGGAAGGCCACGCAGGAATTTTGTTTCTACACGTCGTCGAAATTGTGATAGTTACTCTCTGGAAGCATTTACTTTCCCTCCAACGAGAAAAAAACTGTTCGCCGACCTTTAAACTAGAGGCAACGTGATCCCGTCCTGGTTGGTTCCTTGACGTACCTTGGGGAAGAAGAAAGCGGCGAGGAGGTCTTTGTTCCGGCTGTCAAAGTCGATGAAAAACTCAGAAGCGACCTGCGTCGTAGTTAACGGCGTGGTAAGTGTGGATGGTCAATGGTTGGGTTGCTAAATTAGAGGGTCTCTGGCAGCAGTTGGCACGGCTCGTGGTCGCATCCTTTTTGTACCTTGGTTTGGAGTACGTTGGTTGGGAGCAGCGTTTTGACCGCCGACATGTTGTTCTTGAAGGTCCGATTGATACGTAAAGGACGTGTTGGATAGAAGCAGAACACTCAAAAGACAACACCCATACCACCAACAGTAGCGACAACAGCGACCGCGACATAACATATCAGGTAGTATTAAATTAAAACAGTCACAACAACGCCAACTACAACGGTAGTCTCAACAACATCAACGACGGGACGCCTCGACAACGGCAAAAACGGCATGACGCTACCTCGTTGACCGTCTCGACGAACTGCGCCCGGCTTATCCTCCGGGTGTTGTTGACATCGAACGCCAAGAAGTGCTTCCTCAGCAGCTTGCGGCGGTTGGCCCTCGCGAAGCTGCTGCTGAACGCCTTCATGGCCCGTGCCAGCTGCTTGTTGGTGTCCCCGTGGTAGTCGAACTCCTGAAAGTTATTGTTTTCATGTATTTTGAGGGGTGACGGGGGGGGGGTACGCGATTAACATTCTAGTGAAACGGTGGTTGGTGGCGGTATGCGCGAAAGCCACGTCGTCTTTTCATATCGGCATGTTTTGGAGAGGGGTGGGGAGGCTGGGGTGAAGACAAAAACCATCTTTGGAACATGGCCCGTTTTGAGGTGTGTAACGAAACGTGGGGTTGTGAAGAATATTGGACGACGGGTACGCCTCCAGTACAGCAAGCACCATGTTTCCTCCGATTGCTTCGGCAGGATACCCCACGGACGCTTAGATACACGAAACACAAACGATCACCTCAAGTATGATGGAAAACGTTCCGCGCCCCTTTCTTCATCACAACCACACGCACGTACACGTGCACGAACATCACCACTCTCTTTCCGTCTCTCTCTCTCTCTCTCTCTCTCTCTCCCTTCAGATTCAGTTTCTTGGGTTGCCCCGCCCCACCCTTGAAAAGATCTGTCTACTACTTTGTACACGAAACACAAAAACCGAGGATCCGTGCGGCACCCGAACAGGCGCCGGATTGCTTTAGGACGACGCCGGTGGGNCGTCTTTTAAATTTTCAGCCGGTTCGCGCGGTCGATGTATCAACACACACACACACACACACACACACACACACCTCCGCGTTCATCTTGTTGAGGTAGCTGTGCACCGTGGGCGGGGGCTGATACCGGTGCCTCCTCACCGGCCCTTCCGGCAGCACCATGCTCATGCTCAGGCGACGCTTGGGCGGGGACCGCGCCTTCCTCTGCCCCCGCTCCCGCCGCCTGCCGCCGCCGCCGCCGAGGGCCGCATCGGCCGTGGAGCACCGCTCCCCCGGACGCCGGTCCCCCGATGGCCCCCCCACGGAGTCCCTGGATCCCACGGAGCCCCTGGAGCCCGATCGGGGGACGGAGGCCACGGAGCCGGAGAACCCGCTACTGCTGCCGCTACCCTTGAGGCTGTCGTCGCACTCGGGGCGCTCGTCGTCGTCGTTGTCTTCGTGGTTGTTGTTGTCTGACGCGGATGATGCCCATTGGGCGTTCGGGCTTGTGGCCTTGGTGGCGTCCTCCTGGAGTTCTTCTCCGTCGGGGTCTTTGGCAGAGTCCTGTACCGAGAATTGGGGGGGCGGGGGGCGGTAGGGGAGGGGTTGGTCAGAGGTATCACAACCTCGGCGGTGAGCGTGTGCTTGCGGTGATTCATGTGCAAGGCAAGGGAGGAGAATCCTTGAGGGCCCTTGAATGCTGGCTGACAACTTACCAACACAATCGATCCCAGGCATTGATCCTGTGTACCGAGCGTCTATTCACAACAGAGCGCGCCCTGGCTGCACCGTTCAACAACAGTGTTTGTAGCAGCAGCAGCAGCAGCAGCAGCAGCAGCAACAATAAAGTGTAGAACCTGCTCCACGGAGAGGGGTACGGATGGGTGTGAGATCGAGGCAACAAGAATATCCCCAACAAAAGCGACACCAACGCCAGCAACACCAACAGCAGAGAGACCCCCACCGCTCACCTTGTACACGAAGTGCTGCTGGTGGGAGTAGTGGTCGAAGTCCCCCGGGAAGATGTCGTCGCACAGGGCGGCGTAGTCCAGCGTCCCGTCCGCCCGCGTGTCGTGCTCCAGGCAGATGGCCTCAGCGACCTGCCTCGTCATCACCGAGCTCAGCTTGGTCTCCCGCAGCACGACCACCCACTGGCTCTGCTTTACGGTGCCCTCCCGCTCCTTGTCGTGCCGGCGGAACGCCGATCGCAGGCGGCTCGCCTGTGGTTGGGGGGCAGGGGGAGGGGCGTTCCGCCGCGGGGGATTGGTGGTGTCGTCGAGAGTGTTGCAGTGGTGGATTTTCATGGTGATATTTGGTTGTAGAGGGATGACTAGCGAAGGAAAAACGGAGAAGACAACTCAGGGGATGAACCAATACACGTAATTTTACCAACAAGATGGTGAAATAACGCCAACCCCGCATCCCGCACCTTCGGGTTCTCCTCGTAGTGCAGGTACATGACCTTGAGGATACGGTCTTCGACCTTCATGGACGCCTTAGCCCCACGGTCCTTCAGCTTCGCGGTGCTGATTTGGTGAAAGTTTGGCATGACAACATCCGGCGTGACACGTCGGGCGTGAGATGCGCTAAACAGAATGCACGGCTACTATAGTTGCAAGAAGGGCGACACAGATGGAGGATCACCAGGAATATCGACGGCAACAATCGACAAGCACGCACTCTTCTAGTGGTCGTCATCGCACATGCGCAACCTACACTTTTCAAAAAGCATGGGACCTTGTTGTATCGTTCAATGACTCAATTCAATACATGGTCGGTTTTCGATCCACCTATTTTCGTCGCTGAGTGAGGAATTTTTTCGTTGGCGGTTGGTGTTTCACTGAGGAACTTTCGGTGGCGACACAGACAGGTGAGTGTGCTCGAATGTTCTTGGACCCTGTGAGAAGAGGGCAAATAGACGGTGTGCGTGCGTGTTTTTGTCCCATCTCTTCTGGATTCAGTCTATCCACACCTTTCGGTACATGGCGTTTTTTCACTTTCAGGCAGGGTCACACAGGCATTAGCCTTCGCAGTTTTTTGTATCATGCAAACATGTTGAAAAAAGCATACATTCGGGGAAAGTTGGGTTGGGGATAGGGTTATGGTTAGGGAATAGGGTGTCCGTCCCCCCCCCTGTTCTATTTCCTCATGTACTCGTTAATCGCGGAAAGGCGGGGTCACAAAGGAGGAGCAAGGTAACACAGGGGTCTTCTTTGCGTGGCGAAACAGCATGACACCACTTCTACGATTGGATCGGCAGTGAAAAATGTGTCGCGAGATGAAAAACAAACTATACGATACGCGTATTCATTACAACGGACAACAACAGCATCATCAGCAGGGTACATCTACCGCCAAAGGCTGAAACACGTATGAGCGTGGGGTGCGCCATTATTCACATGGCCCACCTGGGAGAGGCGACGACCAGCATGTCGACAAAGTCGTCGTACAAGACCTTGTTCTCCCCGCGGGAGCCAGGGTTCGGGTTGCTACCGCCGTCTCCCCCCTCGGCGCTGAACTCTCGCACGACCTCGGCGAGCTCCTGCTCTCGATCGGGTCCGATATCGAATCGAACATTACAGAGGACGCGGTGAATCGGTGGCCGGGCTCAGCCTTGCGCGAAGCAAAAAGCGCAAGCCTTTGTTTTGTGAGAGGTTTCCTCGAGCGGCAACCGTTTCCTTGCGGTGACGTCACCAGTACCCTGTTCATTCTACCGTATTTGGTCTCAGAAGAGGACGACCACTACAACACGGTAGTTTAAGAGTTCTTGGAGGGGCTCAATGTTACGCGTCTCTGCGAGATTCTGTCCGAACCGCAACCGACCAAGGTTCGCTAGAACCATCGGTAGTGCACCAGGGCCGTGATGTTGGTGGTGGTGTTGTTGACAACGCCGTTCTCGCTGTTCCTTGTGCCAACATGTTTGCACCACCTCGCTGACGTCACGAGCTTGGCAATAAATTCTCGTGCCAGGCAGATAAAAATGGGAATAAACAAAACAACATATATACATAAAGCAAGTAATAATAACTCCGATTGACCTCATCGGACAGCGGAGTAGCGCCGGCCTTGGCAGAGGGGGCTTGGATGGCCTCGTACTCGATCTGCCGAAGGGTGCGGATGAACTTGGTCTCGCCTATGGCTCCCTGGCATTGTGATGGTGGCAGCAGCGATCGTGTCAGGGGTGGGAAGGGAAGGGGGATGATGGTTTTCCGTGGCATACGTGGATGATGTGGATGATGGAGTTGGTGTTGCTGATGTTGATACACCGTTGCGAGGGGAGGAGAGGGGGCACAGGCAGGGAGAACACCAAACTGTGCGTGCCGAATTGTGTTTCAACGGGGCTTGGTTCTTTCCTGGCTGCGGCGTTGGCATCGATATTCTTGCTGGTGGCTATTACGGGAAGTATCACACATATCTTCTATCTTTCCGAGTCATGGACAATCGGGTGTTTAAGGAATGACGCTGGCTTTTACGGTGACAAGGGACTCTGACAGTACAACCTGGAACGGACAGCAAGCAGGAGGATCCCTTAAGCTAGCGAGGACCTCCGTCCAATTCTCTTACTGTCGCCGACAAACACGGCAGGCAAAGGCAACTTCCACAACAACGCCGCCTCCACCACCACAGCCGCAGGACGATATTTTCTTAGGTTCGACAACAACATTCCCGACGCCTCCGTCTAGTCGGACCCGACGACGATGACGACGATGATGACGACGGTCTTCTTCTCACCTTCATGGAAGGGTCGTTGGCACGGAAGACCGACCTCACTGGCAGCTTGGCGGAAGAGAAGGCCTCCGCCAGGCGCGTAACCGCCAAGTGCGCCGATCCCTGCGGGAAGATCTCCTGCGGTGGGTGTGTGAGTTCGGGGGGGGGGG